GTGCGGCTATCACTTATTTGAGCCCTAAATAGCTAATGTCAGGAGGCTAGATCCACAAGGGGACTTAAACAAGGAACTACTAATTTAGTCCAAACCCCTGCTCAGCTTCTGCCTAACCCCACAGGCACAAAGTATTTAAACAACTAAGTTTCTAATGTAAAAGGGCTGTAGGAGGCAAGATGTTTGCTTCTGGGTTTGCCTGGAAGTGACAGTCTTGATAAGTCTTGATGAGGTGCTCAGTGCCAGTCTTATACCCAAGTCCCATCTGGGTGCACCTACACAAGATGTTTACTGAGGAATTGCCCAACTAGCTCCGCAATAAACATCTAGGTGGCTACACTTGCGGCCCTAGTAGGCCGCAGGAAACCAAGAAACTCCACAGCAGGTCAGTACTTGTAAATACAAGTAATATATCTTGCTGCGGAGTTTTTTCGTGCACAGCAACGTACATGTAGAAGCTGACTGGTCTGGCTGGGGCATGAGGGTGCTTCAGTATGGGGGCTGCCTGCTGGCTAGCCCCCCACTGGAGGGGGCACCTTTTTGCCCCAGCCATCCCCTATGCAGCACATGGAGCCTGGGTGAAGCAGCCCCAGGCTGGCAGGCTGACTCCCAGCTGGGGCTGCTCTGGCCCAGCTCAATGTGCTGCGGTCCTGGGCACACGTTCAAATAGTACACCTAGGAGCAATAAGCTCTGGCACGATATGTACCAGAGTTTATTGCTTTGATTTAATTGAATGTGTAGATGTGTCCTCTGTATATAAAAACTAGATGTTTCTCCTTCTGAAGAAAAGAACTTGCTACAGGCACTCTCAGGGCATTTGTAACAGTCTGGGCTCTACACAAAACATACACAGGCAGGAAAAACGGCAGTACAGCTCCATATGTGATTTATCTGTTCAGTACATAAGCATTTAGGCAGGAAGTGGGACAGCTGGGTTTAATGTCCTCCTCTCTGGACATTATGTTCACTATTTTATATTAAGTATAAGACCTGTAGTCTCTTCTTCTTCATCACCATCTCCTACCATTCAGGTTAAAAAAGCAGCAAAGGAGAGAATGAAAGTCACACACATGATTATTCCATTGCTTTGTGGTTACTACATTCTTCTGGGAGTTCAAATTCCCTAAGGTAGAGCAGAGATTGAACAACCTGAGTCTTTCACATCCTGAGCACTTTCACTGAGCTAGTAGGCAAAACTACTCCTTCCAGATATAGTTGGAATAAGGGCTTTTTGCTCAACTAGAGCTTTGAAGATTGTGAATCTATCACGGAGAGGAGAATGCACCCCAAAGTAAGACATCTAAATTCTATGTGGTTGTTTATTTTTATGTATTTGATTTATATGATGCCTTTTCCAAGAGAACAATAAGAGAACAGACTAATTTATAAAACAGGGGAACCATCAAGAGAATAAAACTTAAGAACCAAGTAAAATTTCAAAATAGAAGTGACATTGAAGCCTAGCCTTGCCCGCTAAACACCTGCCCATAAAAGACCGTCTCACAACTCTCCAGAAGCCATTCAAGCTCAGACTCTGGAGGGCCTCGACAGGTGAATAGTTCTAGACCTGAGGAGAGACCTCTGAAAATGATGTCTACATGCTTTTGAAAAGCAGATTTGGTGCACTGATGGTACTTGCAAGAGGACCTCGGGGATGACAGGGGCATAAGGGAAAAGCCAGTCCCTTTAGGTATGCAGGGTCCAGACCATTTAGAGCCTTATTTCAATACTAGCACCTTGAATTTGGCTTAGATGTTTTAACTAGCTGAAAAGGACTGTCTCCTCAGTCACTTACATGTTTTAAAATGTTCTTTAGAAAAGTTTAGTCATGGTAAAAGTTTCATAGTGATATTGCTAATCATTTTTAAAAATGGAGGGAGATTTTCCTTCAGCTGGCATATCCCCTTTTATTAAAAGCACATTAAATTTCTGGGTAGAGATTAAATAGATTTGTAAATCTATGAATCGTTCTGACTTTAATCTGTAATTTTAATTCCTTATTCCTTTTTCTTATTTCGTTTTTCTTCTAAAGCCTAGTGGAATGGTAGCATGAGCAACACAGAAGACTATAGTTTGATTATGCTAAAGACCAGATTTCTATAGAATTCAGACTAACCCATCTCACCCAGTAATTTCTGCACTGAACCCACAATTTCTATTAGAAGATTAGAGAAATTTGGATTTCACATCACAGATTAATGTCTAGAATGAAACCTATGGTCTATCTCAGCACTACCTCCCCCATTAGAGCAACTGGTGTTTTGGCTTCGGCCTCTCCCTCCTGGAAATTACCCTCCACTAAAAGAGAAATGCACTTATTGGCAGCTTTGTCAGCAGTCCCAATGGGCAAATGAGGCACTAACAAATAGAAATGGAGACTGCAAAAAGTGGTGGGAGCTCAAGATACAGATAGATGGACAGATTTAGAGAAAGTCTTCACTGTGACAACATAGATCATTTCTTGGTATGCTGCCAAATTAGTCCAATTTTGCTCTCTCCTGGTAAGGCAATTCAGTTATCACAAACTCCCATAACAGAGTTAACACATGTATTTGAACTGAAATGAAAGGTTTGAAATTTGAAGAGAAATAAAACAAACATGTTTTTTTCTTCTTTTTTGTAGCAGTATTAAAGACTTAGTACTTAGAATCATAGAAATCATAAAAACTTAGGATTGCCAGGGACCTTAGGCAGTCATCTAGTACAATCTTCTGCACAAACCAGCTATATCATCCCGGACAAGATTTCATCTAGCCTGGTCTTAAAAACCCCCAAAGATGGAGATTCCACAACCTTTCTGGGTAACCTGTTCCAGTGCTTTACTATCCTCCTAGTGAGAAAGTTGTTCCTAATATGAAACCTAAACTTCCCTTGCTCTAACTTGAGACCATTTCTCCTCGTTCTGTTATCTGTCACCATTTTCATTGCCCTCCACTGGATTCTCTCCAATTTGTGCACATCTTTTCTGTAGTGGGGGGCCCAAAACTGGACATAGTACTCCAGATGCAGCCTCACCAGTGCCGAATAAAGGGAAATAACCACTTCACTCAATCTGCTGACAGTGCTTCTACAAATCCAGCCCACTATGCCATTGGCTTTCTTCATAACAAGGGTACCCTGTTGGCTCCTATTCATCTTATTGTCCACTGTAAACCCCAGGTCCTTTTCTGTACAGCTGCTGCTTAGCAATCACCCCCCAGCCTGTACTGGTGCATGGGATTGTTCTGTCCTAAGTGCAAAACTTTGCACTTGTCCTTATGGAACCCCATGAGATTTATTTTGGTCCAATCATCCAATTTGTTGAGGTCTCTCTGAATCCTAGCCCTACCCTCTGATCTATTTACTCCTCCCCGAAGCTTTGTGTCCTCTGCTGAGTTGCTGAGGGTACATTGTATTCCATCTTCCAGGTCATTGATGAAGATATTGAAGAAAACTGATCCCAGGACTGACCCCTGGGGCACTCCACTTGATACCAGCTGCCAACTAGACATCGAGCCGTTGACTACCACCCTCCGAGTCTGATGATCCAGCCAGTTTTCTATCTGCTTTACAGTCCATTTATCCAAAATGTACTTCCTTAGTTTGCTTGAGACAATGTTGTGGGAGACCATATCAAAAGCCTTGCTAAAATCAAAATATATCATGTCCACTGGTCTTTCTGAATCCACAGAGCCAGACATCTCATCATGGAAGGCAATCAAGCTGGTCAAGCATGACTTGTCCTTGGTGAATCCATGCTGACCATTCCTAATCACCTTCTTGTCCTCCAAGTGGTTAGAATGGATTCCTTGAGGATCTGCTCCATGATTTTGCCAGGGGCTGAGGTGAGGCTGACTGGTCTTTAGTTCTCTTCATCCTCCTTCTTCCCTTTCTTAAATATGGGCACTGTATTTGCTCTTTTCCAATCATTCAGGACCTATCCTGATTGCCACAAGTTTTTAAAGATGATAGCCAGCGGTTCTGCAATCACATCAGCCAACTCCCTCAGCACCCTCAGGTATATCACATCCAGCCCCATGGACTTGTACACATCCAGCTTTTCTAAATAGTTCCTAACCTGTTCTTTTGTCACTATTGACTGCTCATCTCCTCAAACTGTGCTGCTAGGTGTAGTAGTCTGGGAGCTGACATTGCCTGTGATGACTGACATGAAAAAGGCATTGAGTACTTCAGCATTTTCTGCATCATTTGTCACTAGGTTACCTCCCCCATTTAGTAAAGGACCCACACTTTCCCTGATCATCTTTTTCTTGCTGACATATTTATAGAAACCCTTCGTTACCCTTCATGTCCCTTGCTAGCTGCAAGTCCAATTGCACTTTGGCCTTCCTGATTTCTTTCCCGTATGTCAAAGCAATACTCTTATACTCATTCCTAGTTGTTTGTCCAAATTTCCACTTCTTTGTGTGTTTTAGCTCACTGAAGAATTCCCTACTAAACCAAACTGGTCTTCTGCCATATTTGTTAGTTTCCCTGTGCATTGGGATGGTTCATTCCTGTGCCCTCAGTAAGGTTTCTTTAAAATACAGGCAGCTCTCCTAGACTCCTTTCCCCTCAGACTGGCCTCCCAAGGGATCCTGTCCATCACTTCCCTGAGTGATGAGACATTATCACTTGTATGAAGTGGAGTCCAGGTTGTGGCAGGGATCTACAGGTCAAAGATGAACCTACTCCTTCAGGGTGGGCATTTAGATAAAGACATAGAAAAGACGAGTGCAACAGGGATTCTATGGGGTGGGAAGGAAGAAATGAGGAAAGAAGAGAAATAGAGAGAAAAGAAAAGGTAAAAAAGAGGATGAAAATAATAGCTAATAAAAGAACAGAAAGGAGAAAAAGAAAGGATCAATAGATTTAAGATTTCACGTCAATGGGCGTGGGAAAGTACCTTTGAGAAGAGTTGAGGGATAAAGTATGACACGGAGATTTAAAAGAACATACATTGGTCTACATATGCAGGATAAGAAACAAAGGGGAGAGGCCATGGAATAGTAGGTTGAGAAATGCAAATGCTTTCTTCTGCAATTCCATCTTTATTGTAATTTGTCTTTTCCATTACCATTGAAAAAGAAAAGGATCAACTTGGGAGAAGCTAGAGTGGGGAAACCAGCTCAGGAAGGGGAAAGGAAGATGCACACTCCACTCTCCCCTATACAGAAGCAGCCATGTCCACTTCCTTGATGTTTACCAAACCATCCCTTTCAGTGTTTCTTTTCTTCAAGGATCTCAGTGTCTCCATCGCACACTGCCAGGTTGCTCTAGAAAAAGACAGTGAAGATTAACAGTGAGATTTGCTTGCAAAATAACACAGAACTGAACTGGGAATATTGTGGGAAATGACAATTCTTCATTCACTTTTTGGGAGGCATTGCAAGAGATGGGCCCTAGAGAAGGAACTGGAATCCAGAGAGGGCAGAGAGGGGATGAATGAGACTTTCTATGGGATGCACAAGTGATGTTGGAGCCATCATGGTCCAGAAATTATGCAAGAGCCAAGGATTTCTTAGGGTGATATCTTTTATTGGACCAACTATGTTGTTCGGATAGTCAGACAAGCCTTCAAATGCAGGACCTGAGGAACAATGTCTTGTCTCCTGAAGCTTTTCTAACTCTATCCCAACTACACAGTTGTTCCAGTAGAAGATAATACTCTAAGAATTCCTTGGCTCTCCTATTCTATGGGATTACTCTATGAGGTCGTTCTCTGGGGGCAATGTAGGAAAATGCACAGAACTATGGTTCGAGGGATGGGGAAGAACATGACAGATGCCCAGGCAGCAGCAACAACACAGCAGGATGATATGGAGGGGAGCAGTCATTGCTTTCAGACACAAGGCCTTAAAAGGAATAAGAAGTTTTAATAGGCAGTTAAAGAAAGATGAAGGAGTGGAGCAAACACAAAATTGCTCAGATCTGAGCAATAGCACAGCCTCAACTGATTAGCATTGTGCAATGATGTCTGCATCCTTTCCTGGCTGAAATAGGCTATGAATTTGTGTCCCGTTGCCAGAGCAAAGCAGTGCAAACATTGCAGCACTATGTCAGGACATTGCTTTCTGCTCTGCGCTATATAAGGAAGCAGCTCTGCAAGTACAGTACCACTGACCTAGTTGATTCTTTTACCAAGCCACAGTACTTCTAGTTTGACAGGCTAGCTACTAATATTCAAAATGAGGTAAGGGCTTGTCTATTCTCCTCGGTGTATAACAGGCTGAGGATTTTACTCTGGGATTTTTGCCCAGCCACAAACATCTCAAAATAGTTTTTGTTTAGTTCTCTGAATGTTCTTGTAGGGACCTCCACTGGGAGTATATGAAATAAATAGCTTATCCTAGACAGACTATTTATTTTCAGGATGTTTACTTGTGCAATCCATGTGATTGTCAAGTGCCTCAATTTCTCAAGCTCTCTTTCAGTTCCTTTGGGGCATATAACTAAAACCAAGCATCTTGCCCCATTTACTGATGGATTGTTAGTCCTAAATATTGAGTTGGTAGTTTCTAGTGCTCTGTTCATAGTGTAATTATTAATACAGCCAGAGTGGGTGATTTAATGGCCCAAGATTAGGTTTGAAATACATCAGCTCCCTTGGAACAGCAAGTTCAAGTCCCAGCAAAGTCATCTCAGCTCCTCATTTTTCTGTGATGGAGAAAATAAGTTCTATGCACCTTTTCAGCATGGATTATTTGGATAAGGCCCTGAATGAGGTCTGTGCTGGGTCATTCATGAAGATTGCATGACAATTTTTTTAAGGAGGACCCTACTGCAATGTCTCTGTAAATGTCCTTCCCCTCTTCCCCCACCCACTTATGCAATGTATTGTACATCAGTTACTTACCATCCTCACCTGTGAGGCAATTCAGCAGTGTTGTGTGAATACAGTTTTGAGCTCAGTTTGAAAAGGAACTTGCGTGCAATATGAAAAAAAAATATCATTACACCTTTGTGCATTTCTCACCTCCACATTGATATTTTTGAGCAGTTGTTTCAAGGGGTTTTCACAAGCAACCATGCCCTTTTCATTGCAAACAGGGCAATATTATGACCAGCTGCATTAATTGAAGATACTTTCATGGCAAAGTGACAACCAGCTGTTTCTTTTTTACTCCACCTGCATCCTTTTCATAAGGGTGAGGTAGAACAAAAGGCTAAGAAAAAAATCAAGGCAAGAATGAGAACAAAATTCTGTTTTTGTAGCAAAGCAGTAAAATTCTTGGGGCCAGATCCTCAGCATGGCATGAAGCTTATGTACCATACAGGGCTTTTTTGAATGGATGTGCAAAAGGCCAGAGAAACAAAAGTGGTGGTTATCCCAACAAATGTAGCTAGATTGACCTACAAACTGCAGAGAGCCAACCTTACATTCCCTGTGATGAGCATCACTTTAGTTTTCTTGTTTTGTTTTGTTTATTGAATTTGCAATTGGGTCCACATCAAAGCTTTTATAAAGATGGTAAAACATATGATTAGGGGGAAACTAGAGGATGAATTACTTTGCCTCATTACAAAAGAGAATTCTGGTAAATTACCTGGGTTATAAGAGCTTTGGTGGCACTGAAACCCAAGCTAACTTGGAATCAGGAAAGCAGTGATAAAGAAGTCTGTTAATATTGGGTAGCTCTAGGAGATCAGGTAAGATTGTTCCATGAAAAGCTATAAAGAATTACAAAACCATTCTCAGTAGAGTCTAATTCCAGTATGGTTTGGCTTTCTGTTTTGGAGTACCCTACTAAACCAAGTGACCTGAATTTTTTTTAAACCCTTACAATAGCAAAAAAAAATTCCATATGCAAACACTTTCACTGGAAATAACCAGAAATCCAACTTTAGAAGCAGAACTAATTCCCTATTAAAAAGTTAAGCGTTAACTTATGATTGTGACTGACTTCTGCTAAGAACATCTGTGCCTGTAGATAAAAAGAATGTGTGTTTATTTATGTTAAGCTTCTATGAAAGGAATATTTTATAGAAATATATATCTTAAAAGGTTAGGATGTAATTAAAAGATGACAGCAGGGGGAATCTCTGACCACAAGTACGGTCTAAAAGGGAGGAAAAAAGCAGTGACTAAACTGGATTCTAGGGTAGTGCAACACACAAAGTATATTTAAAATACAAACTGATTAGATAAGATATTAGAATAACTGAAGTACCTTAAAATGTTGATGATCCATCCTGCCTGCCTCTCTCTCTCATTTGGAGTCTTCTAAATATGCAAAATGGGTTAAAAACTGCTAACCCCAGGTATAGTTTTTTGCACAGGTGCAAGCAGCCTGTTAGAAACTGTGGGGAATTGGATCCCATGACCTCAGTGGAAGGTCTGATTATTGTATTTAAGGTAGTTAACTCTACTCTATTTGTGGCCATACATTTGCTTCATGTGTTTTCTGTTCAGTATTTAATACAGTAAAAGCTGCTAAATTGAGCACTACTAAATGTTTATAAGACAACTGAAGAATGATGTTTATACCCTGCTGGCATTCAACTTTTAAGACATAGTTCTTCCTAAAATTTAAACAGTTTTTTTTTTTTTCTTCTCTTAAGAAATCAAAGTTCCTCGTGTCTTCTTTTAGACTTTGTGCCCTATTAAAGCCCTGAATTTGAAAATAGTTTTGGCAACGGCAAACTCCTTTTGTACAATCAGGGTCCAAAAGCAGAAGTAGGGAAAATAACTGCTTTCCTTATACTTCCTCTTCTGGTGCTTCTGCAGTATTTTCAAGTCAGATTCTGTCAGATAAGTGCAAAGAAGATTTATTTTAAAGCTTGATACCATCCCTTGATAAACTTTCCTATAGTTCGGCTATGCCTGTAGTCCAATTTTGTTTCACTAAAATTGATGGGAACTTGGTTGCCAAAAATCTGATAACTTAGGATCTCGCCTAGAATAGACTGGAATGGAAATTTCTCATATTACTAATTTTTGTGTACTTTTGACTCTTACATAAGGAGGCTTTATAATTGGGTTACACTATGCTAATGATTTTGAAATACAGCAATTATGAACTGTCAAATACTGTGACCCAAAAAGATTATTAGGTTCCATAGTCAATTCAGAGGAATAAGATTATCCCAGCCTCCATACTTTCAAAGAAACCTTCACGATATCTGAAGTTAACTTACACCAAGAACTTTATTGATTTATTTATTTTTTATCTGGAACTCGCACATGAAGAATGTGTGTGTGTGAAGGCAGAAAATTGCCTACTGGTGTGGGGGTTTGTTTGTTTGTTTTTATAAAATAAGCCATCTTCTCATGCTTAATCCTTTTGCTTGATGATTTTTTTTTTTTTAATTACTTCCTATACAATTAGTTTACGTGGAAGAGAAACTTTTCATAACATAAAAGTTGTCAAAGTACAACCATAAACTATTGACATTTAATTTTTAAAATGCTTTAGTATCTTAAACTGCGCTGACTGAGAATAAGCATGAAAAATGGGGTTTCTCATTGCCTAAATAGTGTGCATGCCATCAGAATTGTGCATACAGTAAAAGCCTGAATAGTTTTTGAAAGGCTAACTATTTCTTCTTTTGAATTAAAGACATACAAAGTAATTTGAAAATGTCTGAGGAAGAAGATTCTTTTTTAAATGTCAGAAGATCTATGAACAAAACAGCAGTGAAACATAGTACTCCAGTGGACTCGGTGTTCTCCCATAGTATGATATCTCTGGATTTAACAAATGAATCTTTCAAAGAACAGGACACAAGCAATAAAATCTATGGGTCTCCAATGGCAAAACCATTCCAAGAACAGCGAATGCACCTTGAAAAGTGCATCTCTCAAGCTATGTTTCCAAGAAGGCTCTCCACAGTATTGGACTCAGAGGAATCAAAGGAAGAGATGAGCCACAGCTCTTGGGTTATATTTCCTAGAAGGAGACTTTCAACAGTGTTGGCTTCAGAAGAATCAATTGAAGGGCCAAGTTATGAGGCGATCCTTCCCACTTCAGTTGCAGAAGAAGCTGAAGTCCCTGCTGAACCGCCCAAAAAGAAAGTGAGAGTAACTTCAAAACGTTCACATACAGAGCTGGTTACTGGAATACCAGGAATAAAAGATCCAACACTAAGAAAAAGAAGAAAAAAGAAATTTGAAAAAGAACTTGTGGTAATAGTATCTTTTTTTAATTTTTCTTCTACATTATATGATATTTGGAAATGGATTTCCAAATGTTCCTAGCAGTTCAGGAAATTCTTATATCTCTTCATAAGGTGTTTTAAATTGCCCAAGATTTTGCTACAGATTCTACTGCTACCTCCATCCACAAAAAATGACCATAAACTAAACAAGCCCAAGCAAACAGCAAATTACAGGCCCCTTGAAGACATTACACTTAAAACATGATTAACCAGTTAGCTCTGTCTTTAGTAACCCAATCACACATTCACGCTATTAATAGCATGATAAAACAGGGAATAAGTCACAAACTTGTTGTTCAAAATGTATAGCACTGTGGCCATTTCCCATCGTGCCTCAAATAGATGATCCAAGTTGCATGGTCAGGCCAAGCAGGTGACTGCTGCATCAGAATCAAGGGTTCCTATGTGCTGGGAGTGGCAGTCAGCCGACTGGGCTTTCCAGTCTCAGGACTGCAACAGAGTCAAGGGCTTCCAAGGGTGAAAATGCCAATAGCTGACTGGTTTGCTACTTGGTGGTGCAGAAGGGAACCCAGAATCATGATATTGTCCCAGCAATATGGTGCCAGTGGGACCTGATACCTGATCCCACAATTGTGCTTCCTGTCATACATATGTAAAATGGCAGGAGGCACAATTGTGGGGATCAGGGATTGATTCCATCACACCCAGAACTGCCAGGGGCCTCAGATTCATACACTTGGTTGTTTTTTTTTGTTTTTGTTTCTTTTTTTTTTTAAATGTGATGGCTACTTCCCATTATACGTGGCATTTGTCTCTGGTCTGGTAAGGTGGTACTGACTGCTTTCATGAGGTGTAGCTCTCTCATATGATACTTGAGCATAATACCTGCTTTGAGAGAGAACTACAGACAAGCATGTGATGTCCCTTTGTTAATAACATAAGTTGCAGCAAAAATATGCATTTCCTATTCTCACAGAATAACGTATAGGCCAATAATTATGTTCTGGATGAAATTAACTTTACATCGGGGGGGAGAACATATTAAACAGGACCAATGTTCTCCTGTTAAAAGCACTTACCTCTTTATTTAAAAAAATCCCCATTAGTTGTTATGAACACATGATACAGGGCATATATTTAAGCAATTTCATTCAATTCAGAAGAGTGTTGTTATAAACTTACATATTAGCCTGACCATTACAATTTTATAGAAGAGCTTCTTTAAGGGGGAGTAAAATGTAGAAGTTGGAGCTGGAAAAAAGCGTTTACTTGAGTTTATAAATAATAACCTTTTTATTGCTCTAAGATGTATTAATAAAAAGCCAAAATGGTAGCCAAATAAAAGACTGAGAACTTTCCTGAAGCTATGACAGGTATTCTCTATATTAGGCCCCCATGTCTGGGATTTCATCTATCCTTTCAAATCAAACTTGGGTGTTAGGGGTGCAGAAATGGCAGCCAGGTTGGCATGCTACCAGCAGTATGACCATTCTCACTGCTTATGCACTGCTGCTGCCTAGGGTGCTTAAGGCTAGGGACAGAAATTACTCTCAAACTGGTATAAGCAATCGAAAACCATTCAAATCTGTAACACAAAAGTTCAGTGCTCATAAACCACTTTCAAAATGGCTAGAACAGATTTAAAATAAATCTGGATGGATGTAGTATCAGACTTAACTGACTTAGGTTAAATCAGTTGGTTGAACTTCTTTCCCAGATCCCCCTCCAGATTGAAGTTAACTTGCAGCATACCAAATTGCTTTGCACCTCCTCTGCCAACCCCACTTCTTGGAGTAAGCAGGTTAGCTTTGGCACAAGCTGTCTGCTGCAGCTGAGCATGGAGGTGTGCTCTAGTGCCCCCCAACTTCTGGCCTGGGCCTCTGCAAACCTGTGGATGCAGTTTCAGAATCAAAAGTGAATGTCTGTTCACTTGTTTATCAGTTCAATCTATGCATTTTAGACAAATTTGTGAAGATTGAATTGATTCAGCCTCGGGCTTTTGGACTGTCTGTTTTTTATCCTGTGTGTCCAGTTACTCCTCTGCTAGTAACTCTGATGCCATTAGTGTAGTCATACCATTGAGTAAAAGCTGAGCAGGTTTGGCTTGTTAATTGTGACTTTTTTTACAAATTCTGTTGTGCATGATCCCACACTGTGTGTGTGGCAGATAGCCTCAGAGTGAATTCTCTTTTTATAACAATAATTTTCTCTTTAAAACAGAAAGAAACACGCAGGGCTTGGGAATTACGTCAACTTAAAAACATTGAAGAAGCAACTAGACATAACCTGACGATTGAAGAAGTTTGAGCTCATTCACTGTGGAGTGAATAGTGCCACATGCTGTACAACTGGGAAAAAAATGGTTGTATTAAAATACAGATATGGTTGCCATGCCTATTGTAATTGTGTGAGTGGGGAGGGGAGGGAAGAATGGCATTGAAACAGTGTGCTTGGTATTTTCAAGTACCAAAACATCTTTCATAAATGGTGATATTGCCGTCTAGTCTGACATATTGTTCCCTCCTGCCCCCCCCCCCCCTTTGTGTCAGTGTCACTTCTTCAATCCTTCTAGGACAGTCAGTGTAACATAAATAGCATGCACGGTCCATTAGGCTGCTTCTAGTATAATCCTTGTTAGTCAAAGAAGAATCTCTTCATCTATAGAGTAATCATAGCTGATGCAATCTGGAATGTTTTTGCTGTTCTGGGGATATGAGGAAATAACACGAGGCACAAAGGAGGGAGGACAGTCCCTGGAGATTACTAATTAATTACAGCTTGTTTTGAATAGCTGACGCTAAATGAACCTACTCTACCCTTTGATATTTTGCAAATGCACAATCCGCATGGAATGAATGCATCTAACTGTGCTGCCATTTGCACCAAGCAGTTACAAGCTTGCCCATGTTCTCCCTCTCTCACTCTCTCTGGAACTAAACTACTGTATTCAGGGGAAAGAAATTCTTTGGAGGCAGATTTACTAAAACCCCTGCTTCAATTTCAGCAGCTTCCTGTTATTAATGAGTCCATAACTTATACATAAGATGGAAACTCACTTTGCTATCATATCTAAAATACTTTTAGTATTAGACATTAAGGTAGTGGCTAATGGCTCCACTTCAAATGGTAGCCCTACTGTGCTACCTGATGTGTAGACACATAGGCTAGGTATAGAGGTTCAAAAATCCTGAGGTGGATTTGCACTTTCACATTATTTCTAAATGCCCTGGACAACTTTGGGAGCAAATAGAACTCATCGGCCTGCAGGAGGCAGGGAGCATGGAGGTGGCCTGCACTGGCTGGATGCATCCCCATGAGCAGGATCATGTACTTCTCTGGGGACAAACAACAGTGGCGCACCTTTTGCCGGGAAGTGCCCATTCCACATGGACCCCGGTGCATAGCAGGTTATCCGGGTGAGGTAGGGGAGGCTAGGGCCAGCAACTGTGCTGGGCTCAGTAGCCTTACTTGGGGTGCTGGGGCCCTCCAGAAGCTTCAGCTGTGGTGTTCCTGCAGCAGGGAGCTTGGGTGGCAGCTAGAGTGTACCTCCACCAGCTAGGCTGCAGTTTTGGGCAGCACATGCTATTGCCATGTGCCATGCCCTACTTTTTTTAGCATGTTTTTTTTTGACCCTGGGATCTCCTGAGGTCAAGAAAGCCCCCCACACCGCAAAGTAGCAGTGCAGGGAATACCTGCAAATGCAGTGTGTGGCACTGTAGATGGGTTTGTGGTGCCACATACAGCATGTCCGTGCTCATCTGGATGTGCCTGCAGAGGCTAGCAAACTGGGAGTGCTTTTGCACAACTCCCAGCAGGCTGACAGAAAGCTCTGAGCCCAGCCAAGCAGCCCACTACCCCTGATTAGCCAGTGAGGCACCTCTCTACAGCTGTACCACTTGCCAGCTTTCGGCTGTCTACAGTGGCTGAGGTGGGGGGAAGAATGGAGCCCCCCACTGCATGGGTTCCCCTAGCTTGGGATCTGGGGGGACATAGCTGTCCGTCATACCGGACGGGGGGGGGGGGGGGGCAGAGCCCCCTGCCACACAAGTCTTCCCCAGGTGGCTGACACAAGGCTGGGTCCATGCAGTAGGGGAGCTCCACTCCGTCCCCTACATGCAGCCACCCATGCCAGCAGGAGACAGGTTTTTCTGGCTCCCATCTGTGACAGCCCAGGGCCAGGGTGGGGCAGGGCCAGCCCAGCGCTCTTCTTGAGCAGATAAGTACAAGCCAAGGCTAGCACACCACTCTGTAAGGGGTGCCTGGAATGCCAGAAGACAGTGAACTAAACTGATTTGCTGCAGGATCTGGGACAGAAGTTCGATATACTGCTCCAACATAAACCGATTAATTCTAATACTACATTTGTCAAGGTCTATTTTAGACCAGGTTCCATCATTTTAAAACTGGTCAATATGTGTTGAACTTCTATTCTGTTACAGCTTTAGACTCGTTTCCAATCCCTTATACTAATTTATATGCAATGTCTATAACTAGCCATAATGTAAGAGCTCCTAAGTCAAAGGAATGATATTAAAAACACACAAGATAGGGAAAGGTGGGCAGTGTTATCAGATGTAAAATGAAAAACAGGAGGCTCATGCATGCAAGGTCTGTGATAAAGGTAGGATTTGACCCCCAGGTCTTGTATAGGTATGTCTGTACTGTGGAAGCTGTGTGTCTATGTTGTGTGCACATTCCAAAAGCCAGAAATGTGCTGCTGCAGATGCTCCAAAGTGCTCTTCTGCAGCTTGAGGGCAGCTACCAGGGAGCACCCTGGAACACTTTCACAAGCATGTTTCTGGGTTTGAAGCATATAGGCAGTAGGGCTGTGCAAAGCTTTGGGTGCTGATTTGATTCGGAGGAGATTCGGCCTAATTCGGTGACCAAATCGCCAAATCTGAATCAAATAAGGGGACCAATAAAAAGGTCCAAATTGATTCAGAAAAGATTCAGAGAGCTTCGATGATTTGGGCAGCCGCCACCTGCTGCAGCAGGGAGCTGGACCCAGACTTGGAACTGGGTCCTCCCCACCATGGCTGCCTCACCCACCCCAGCTCCCGGTGCTTTAAAAAAAAGCCCCCACTTACCAGGTGCTGCTTGGTGCAGGGGGCAATCCCTGCTGCCCCCCACTGCCCCATGATGTATGGGGGGGGCTCTGCACAAGCTCCCTAACCCCCACCCTGCTGCTCCAGCCTCCCCATGGCTGCACCGCCCACCCCAGCTCCAGCCCTTTAATTAAAAAAAAATCAACACCCCCCTGACCCAGTAGCTCCTGCAGTGACCTCAGGGCTTTGTGGGGCTCATGGAAGAGCTCCCCATGTGGCACAGGGAAGTGGGGGGCAGTGGGGATTGCCCTCTCCCCCCTGCCTGGCAGCACCTGGTGAGTTGGGGCTTTTTTTTCAAAGTGCCAGGAGCTGGGCCAGGGGGGGCAGCCATTGGTGGGGCCGGGGGGGGGATAGGGGATGGGCCTGTGTGATTCAGAGATTCGGCAGTAGACAAATCTCCGAATCAGATTTGGCCAAATGGATTCGGGACAGTGATTCAAATCGCCAACTCGAATCACTGTCCCCCGAATTGGCCAAATCCAAATCTGAAGCGAATACTAGCCACTTCACACAGGCCTAATAGGCAGTGTGTGTTCAAGGCCATCTCAGCTGAGGCAGACTGCCAGTGCTTTGTATATATGCCCTGAATCATAGGTGAAAGCCTTTAACTACAGGACCATGTTAGATTCACTAACCAGAAAACTTGTAGCCCCCTTGTACCTATGGAAATGTAATCTGATATCCTACCCATGTCTTTAGGGCCTAATTAGGATGCTTTTGCTATCCATTCCAGAGGTAAAACTCTCCAGTGCCCACACCAAATTCCTTTCCGAAGAACACCCTGACCCTCCAAATACACTCCTGCAGGCAGTTTGACAGAGCTAAAATATGGTGACCATCCAATCATGATTCAAGGCATATTCATTTGATTAACTTTCCGGTGTGTGTATGTGTATTTGTACATGTTGCTCTAGCTGTTTATCTGGCCTCTTAGGATTCCTTTTGCAGCGAGGAGCATGTGACCTGATGGAGAATCAGAGCTACTCCAGGCTTACAGGCTCAACAGGCATGGTAACAGATGTCCTGTCATTTCCTTTGGTGTGAGCAGCAAGGCGCTGTAATTTGGGAATTAGGGTCAGAGAGCTGCTATGTTGTTGGAAACCTCCTATTCTTAAGCAGAGTGCATATTGGCAAGGCCTGTGCAGATTTGTTATGACTTCTTATGCATATGCGTTATGATACAGTCTTTTAATAGGACCAAGTCCTGTAGACAAATAATTATGACTATCTCTTGTCCCACTTCTGCTACACCTTGCTAATCACACTTTTCCATTCCTCAGGCATCTTATCCCAGACTCATACTTCTTGTCCTGGAAACTTTATTCTTGGGCTTCCAAACTTCCAAGCTCAACCCTACCCCATTCCCAACGAGTCTTGCCCAGCTTGCCCAGCTAGTCCCAGTCCCTCCTTTCCCAGCCTAAACTGCACATCTATTATCTTTCTCTCTTGCCACCTTGGCTTCCAGGGGTACCTTCTCACATTCCCTGTCTCCACTCCCAGACTCACCTGTCCTCCCTGAACAAATTTCAGGAACATATAGAGACTAATTGAAGTTTACTGGAATTTCCTTAGTGGGGAAAGCAGAATGCACAAGTGTAATTGAAAGCTAAATTTGAATCATGTTGTTCTTCCCCCTCTTGAGTAAAGAACTAACCTATTTACATACTAGTTTCAAGATCCTGAAAAAACATTTTCATTTACTGCTCTGGGTAAAATCAGATATTTGATTTACCTATGGCCTTTTTTCCCCCTATATTCTATTTTTCCCCCTAGATTTCCCCCAATATTCTAATTATTTGAAATAAGATTGTTAACAGATAAATGGAAACAAGTAAGGTTGTAGCAATTCTGTCACCTGTGTATTAAGGCAAAAGCAGTCAGATTTAATTATCATTCCTTGTTCATCTTGCACTCAAAAGTCTGATCAACATAAACTGAATTTCAGCAAAGTTTGCAGAAGCCGAGTGGTCACAGTCCACCACAGCAATATTATTGTTATTTATATTTTATTTGGTGGTACCACCTAACAGCAAAGCCCTGTTGCACTCTGCAAATCTATATTCAATAACTGACCCTGTCCAAAATGCTGAGAAGAGGAATTTCAGTTTCTTGTTCTAATTTCAATGAACAGTTGAAATAAAGGTGAATCTCTCCAAAAGGACTAATTTATTATTTAGTATCTATAAATCTGAGCATATTTCACAATGAAAAATAACTCCACATTTCTTTTAGTTACAGGATTGCATTTATATTTAAGATAAATAACTGCCGTTTTAGCAACAGAGTTTTCTCCTCCTCACCATGCAGATACAAAGTAGTCTTGTGTGAAGAAGTAGGAGTGCATCAGTTCAGTGTTTTAATTGCTATCCTCTAGTGGCAGGAAAGGTGAATTGCTATTTTGGTCTGTTCCCAGCTTTGCATACTGTTTTTTTAAAAGCTCAGGTTTTGGTTATTTGCCTTACAATAACATGCCGGTACATAAAAAGTTTTTTCCCCCATAAGAATGGGGGAAAATCCTACTGAAGGCAAAGGGAGTTGCCAGAGCCCAGAATCTTTCACAACCTGACCTTTTTCTTAATTTGGATACTTAATTATGTATTCAAGAGCCTAACTTTAGGTGCCCAGGATTTAAAATGTTGGCATCAGATTTTCAAAAGTCTCCGTAAGAATGAAATGGGGGCTGTTTCCCTTAATACCTCTGAGAAAGAGGGAGTTGGTCTCACATATCCTCGAATCATACTTTAAATAGTTCCTTTCAACTGAATTACAAGAGTTTTAGCAGGTTCTTGCATCATGCTATTGTGCTGCATGTTGAACGTGACACAGGATGTTTTCTAAGTTCAGAACAACCTTCCCTCGAAGGGACCCCTGGATCACAGTATTTTTCCTTTAGAAGTTAAACGGTGACCTTGACCCAAGTATTGTTTTTCAGTACATTTGTTGCACAATATACCTGCTGATGGTGACTAAGCAGTAGGGTGGATGGAGAAGCACAAAACAACACACAGAATATATAGAAGGGGGCTACTTCAAAACAAATGCCATAGATAGCCTTTAGTTTGGGCATGTGCCATTAAGCCAGTTTCCAATGAAGGGAATGGCAAAACTCGCTTTGACTTCAGGAGTGCTAAAAAGGGAATGCTCCTGCTGGGAGTTTGTTGCAAATCTACACAATTATAGAAGGATCACTTTAAAGGGGCAGTCAGGTTAAAAACATATTTGAAAACAACCATATGCTAAGGTAATAGTTTGCAATATTTAGTTTAACTTATCCATTTGATGAAAGCCCCCTTTTTCACATCTATCTATCTATCTAGATATCTTAGATAGATATCTTAGATAGATAGATAGACAGATACAGATATATCTATATCTATCTATATATATATCTATATATGGTCATGCATGCATACATACATATATACATACATAGGTTTGAAATAAACCTTAAACACCATTAGTTAATTCATTCTAAAAGTAAATGCCCCTTTCATAGCCAATAGAGAAATATATGTGCCAAACTACCAGTAATGTAGAATGTTATTTCTAATTTCAGTGGTGTTGAACTGCAGACCGTTATATTCAGTTAGAAAGACTAACAGATACACACTTGGACAAATTCCCAAAAAGTATTATAAACCCTCTACCTTACTAAGAGGTTTTTTTGTTCTTTCTTCTTAATTTTGAAATGCCATCAACATTTTGAAACTTGAAAAGTTTGCCCTGGATTCTTAGATTCATAGATGTTAGGGTCAGAAGGGACCTCAGTAGGTCATCGAGTCCGACCCCCTGCCCTGGGCAGGAAAGAGCGCTGGGGTCAGATGACCCCAGCTAAGTGCTTATTCAGTCTCCTCTTGAAGACCTCCAAGGTAGGGGAGAGCACCACCTCCCTTGGAAGCCTATTCCAGATTCTGGCAACCTTTACTGTGAAGAAGTTCTTTCTAATGTCCAACCTAAATCTTCTCTCCATCAATTTGTGGCCATTTTTCCTAGTTACTCCAGGGGGTGCCCTACTAAATGGAGCATCCCCAATTCCCTGCTGCCCTCCCCTGATGAATTTATAGGCAGCCTAAGATCACCTCTCAGCCTTCTCTTGTGAAGGCTGAAGAGATCTAGATCCCTTAGTATCTCCTTGTAGGGCCTTGCTTGCTGGCCTCTAACCATACAAGCAGCCCTCCTCTGAACCCTCTCAAGATTCTCCGTATCCCTCTTGAAGTGCGGTGCCCAAAACTGGATGCAGCACTCCAACTGTGGCCTGACCAATGCCACGTAGAAGGAAAGCATCACCTCCCTGGACTTGTTTGTCATGCATCTGCTAATGCATGATAAAGAGCAGTTAGCCTTGTTGATCGCTCCATCACATTGACAACTCATGTTCATCTTGGAGTCAACTATGACTCCAAGATCCCTTTCTGCTGCTGAGAAGGTCATCCCCCAGCCTGTAAGTGTGTTGGTGGGTTTTTTTGCTCAGGTGCAGCACTTTGCACTTGTCTTTGTTGAACTGCATCCTATTTCATTCTGCCCATTTTTCCAACATGTCCAGATCCACCTGGATCCATTCCCTACCCTCTGGTATGTTAACTTTGCCCCATAATTTGGTATCAGTAGTTGCCTTTCTAAAAAGGGACTCAAGTTAAAAGGTCAAACTGTCAAACATGATCAAAAGCTTAAAAAAACCAAAACAAAATAAGCAAACTTAGGTCCCTCCTTAGAGCCCCCTGAGATCTTCAAGAGGTTTCTCTCAATTCCTACATTACCCTGTAGGATACTAAATTCCCTAAAGTTTAAACAACTACGTTTCTTGGTAATGTCACCTATATATCTCATTTTCCAACTCTGTGCAGAAGCAAACCTATCTGCATTCCAACACCACTTACTCATCCCTCAAAACTAACAGGTTTCTCAGACCAGACGCTGGGCCTGATTCAGCGGGAGTTATTAAAGCAAAATTATATATTATGCCCCACACAAAAGAGAGCTGGAATGTGGGTTCTGGAAATCTGGAGACTGTCTCACCCTCCCTTCCCCTTTGCCCCTCCCGTCTCCCAACAATAAACCCACTAGTGCAGAAGTTAAAATTCTCACCTGGAGGTGGGAGATCTTTTTTTCACATCTTCATTCTGCCTGAGCAGGAGCAGGAACATGAACACAGATCACCTCCTATGTAACAGGAATTTGGGACAGTTTAGTATAGAGAAGAGCTGATACCAGAGAGAGATGTAGAAAAGAAGGAATAGTAAAAAGTAGGTAAACCTAATCATCCTGTTTCTCCAAATACAACAATTTGACATTTCCATGGTGGAGTAATACCATTTGTAGTTACTTTAAGAACAGTTAAGTTAAAAACAAATTTTTTGTAAAGGTGACAAACTCATGCTGGCTGGCCAAAGCCAATCTCTGACAGATCACCTGGGGACCCAGGTACAGTGTTTAAGTGAATAAAGACAGAGGTAGGTGCTTTTGCAGAGTCTAATGCACACTGAGAGAGAGGTTTTTAGGCTGTGTTTACACACTTCCATGCTGAGACAAGGGGCAACACTAGAGAAGTATGGCTTGCCTATTCCTCTCTTGCTCATTCCAGATCCAGGAAATGGGGTTCTGCAGTTGCTTTGGAGCATCTCTCAACATGTGCCAATAAACCCACATGTGAATATACTTGCACCACTTCTCAGCTGGCAACTGATGGTGCCAGCTGCCAAGTAGCTCCACCCACCTACTCCTGAGCAACCCCAGGAATGTGGTAGCAATGCTGCTCTATGAGGTGGCCCTCTACAGCCACTTTTGGAGATCTTAGTCTCCAACATGCTCAGGAGTGGCCTTGGGAGTACTTTGGCGAGCCCAGAGTGACTTTACCAATGAGTTCCCAGATTTGGTACATGCGAGCATGAGAGCCGTGTGGGGAGAATGGGTGCTGCCAGGAGCAGCAGGA